GAATCTTTGCAGAATGAGTGGGGCTAGTTGGAGTGGATCAGCATAGCGGTGTACACTTACTGGTCACTTTATTAACCAATTTTACACTTTAAACTACCTATGCAGTATTCTCCTCCTATATTATTAATCTAAGTAGCAGATTAATATTATTTGCTGAGTTTAAAATACTGGAGACAAACCTAAAATATAAAATGTGCTGAAAGTTGGGTTTAAGAAATGAACTTCATAAGGGCACCTTCACTCTTCTGTGGTGTACCTGCAGGGTGCTAATTATTCTGGAGTTGACTGTATGTTTCATTTTTTCATTAAGTTACATTTAACCCAAGAGGATAAGAAGCTTAGATAGTGTGAGTGTGTGTGAGTGTGTGTGTGTGTGTGTGTGTGTGTGTGTGTGTGTGGGTGTGTGTTAAATTGACCAAATCTATAGAAATCATGCATTTAAATTTGCTCAAAGTTAGGTTTAAGTTCCCTGTAGAGGGTGTGTTAACTTATTTTCACTTCTAATTTGAATAAACTTTTGCATACGACGTTTCTAACGGCCTGTGTCTCCAAACCTGACCTGCCATATGAAAGCTGTCAGTTACGGGGCTGTTAGGAGATGACGGTTGTGTTTGTCAGATGTATTCTGAGGCTTCTGGGAGCTGGAGGGAGAGGTCATGTTCTTGGCCTTCTCTGAGGAGTCGCCATGATGACTCTGAACCTTACATGACTCATGTCCCGTGGCTACTAACCACAGTGTTGAACAAGAAAAAAGAAGAAAAAAAGAGGAATCTGTGCAGAGCCACAGCACCAAGGTTAGCTGAAGATTATGGCATCAAGTCCCCCAAACAGCACCCCTCTCTTCCTTAATCACCATAATGACTGAGCTGCTGATACTAAGGAGACTTGGATGAAGGAAAAATTTGAATATAATCGAATGCCACAGAGCAAAAACAGACAGTTACTAAAGAACATCTCTTCTTTCCCACCACTTTTTCTGTTACGCCACACACAACTACTGCAGCTACAAACCACAGTGTTAAAGAAGAAAAAGGGAAGAAAAGAGGAACCTGTGCAGAGCCACAGAGTTTAGCTCAAGACTGTGGCATTAGGTTCCCCAAACACCACCCCTCTCTTCCTTAATCTGAGAAACAGCTACGTAACAGTGTACACACCAAAAAGAGTGTGACTAAAGTACATTTCTCATGGCATTCATTTTAAAAGGGGAGATGCAGTAATGATAAGTGTTCATTTTTGCTATATTATAACTGTGTATAATAGCCTAATAACAATATCTCAGTCACAGTATCATGCTATTAGAAAATAAACACATTCAGTCTGCATAAAATTAGAAATGACAACTAAACACTTTTGATTGTGTGAAATGTGTTCTGTACACAATCTATAGAACAGTTTATATTTACAGCTACAGAATCATTGACTCCCCTCGATAAACAGAGCAAAATGAATCATATAAATTAAACATCATAAATCATTCCTAAAACAGGGTTGCTTTATTTTAAGAATAGTGAATTCTTTCAAACACCTGTGGGACAAAACTGTTGATACATTTTAAACAAAACCAAGGAAATAAGCATACGTGGGGGGAAAAAATCTTTCTGTTTGGGGCTCCTAGCCCCCAGGAACTCCATTGTAGTCTTGTATATTGTGGTCATGTCACACTGTTGTCACATTTGGTAAAAACATGTCTACATACAATAAGATGAATCTGATGCAAACTGCCAAATATGGTGGTGGAAAAAATGTTAGCCCATTTAAAATCCCAGGCTTATTGCATATTAAGGCATATTATTCAGTAACTACAAGGACTTCAATGCAAACTGGCTGAGCTATTCTTAGGATATAAATGTGTGTAATGAAATGTTGGGCCTGCCGGTGGACTCTGGCCATTTAAGGGGTTAAATAACACCACATGTACCTGTGCTGCCTATTGTAACACATTATTAAATTCTTAAATGAACATCAGTGGGTCTAGTTAAGAATAGAATGTTGTTTTTAACATATCTGTGGAAAGTGTGGAAAACTGATGTTTTGAGGCTGTTTTGTTGCTAGTACTCCAGGAGTTCTTGTGAAAATCTGTGGCATAATAAATTCCATTAAATATTAGATTTTAGGAAAAACATCTGTCTGGATTTGCCAGAAGGCTGAATCTTTCAGCAAGATAATGACCCCAAACACACATCAAAATCCACACAGAAACGGTTGTGGAGACAAAGTCAAATCAAAGTTTTGTAGTGGCCCTCTGTCTCTGTATTTCAACTCCACTGAAAACCTGTGGAAAGGAGCAGTCCAAAAGCAAAGATCCTGGAAAATCAAGGAACTGCATGAAGGAGTGGTCCAAGACCCCTCAACAAGTGTTCTCTAACCTTGTGAAGTATTACAGAATGCTGTTATTTCTGTTAAGTTTTCAAAAAATTGTGTTAAAGTTTTTTTTTGGTTCCCAAAATATAGTGTAAAAACAAAACTATGCAGCTTACCCATTGAATTAAGCCTGAAATCACTAACTGCATATTTTTATTTTGATGTGTATAATTTTTTTCATTTCCATGAAGGGATTTAATTATTCTGAAGTTGACTGTTTCATTTTTTTCCAACATGCTAAATTTAGCAAATAAATAGAAATTGGTCATTAAACTATGCACAAAAATGCCATTCAGTTCCTTGTAAAGGATGTGTTCACTTTTTTCACTTGACCAAACTTTTGCATAAGACTTTTCTAACAGCCTGTGTCTCCAAACTTGACCTGCCATAAGAAGGCTCTCAGTGATGGTGCTGATGGGAGATGAAGGATGTGTTTGTCACACTGGAGGGAGAGGTCATGTTCTTCGCCTTCTCTGAAGAGTCTTTAGATGTGTCACCATAAGCCTTACATGACACACATGTACTGCAGCTACTAACCACAGTGTTGAACAAGGGGAAAAAAAAGAAGAATCCCTGCAAAGCCACAGAGGTTAGCTGAACATAATGGCATCAGGTCCCCCAAATACCACCTCTCTCTTTCTTAATCTAAGGAACAGCTGCATAAGTAGTTCTACTTTCTTTTACTGCTCCTTATTCACACCTGGAACCTTGTAACTCTAACGAGTCACATGACACCAGGGAGGGACAACGACACAATTGGGCACAATTTGGACATGTTCACTGTAAGGTGTACTCACTTGTGTTACCAGCTATTTAGACATTAATGGCTGTGTGTTGAGTTCTTTTCAGAGCACAGTAAATCTATACTGCTATACAAACTGTACACTGACTATGTTATATTCAAGGTTCATTTCTATAGTGTTGTCCCATGAAAAGATATAATAAAACATTTGCAGAAATGTGAGGGGTGTACTCACTTTTGTGAGATACTGTATTTGTTAAAAATCTGACGCATGTCATATTGTACCATACCAAACAGAATGGTCAGTCTATATGAAATTGACATTTTGTTTTAAGACATTTCATAAATAATTAAATGGTCTTTCCAAAAACTCTGATGGCATCTATTTGTGTTCTCTCCGCTGAAGTGCCTCATAAGTCTCCACAATGCACAAAGTGCTTTGACCCCTATGATTGCCACTTGCAGCTGTATTACTGTAATATAACTGGTCAGAAAAGACCAGAAAACTAGTGCTGTGTTCTTCCTATTGGCCATCAGTCCAGTGCTGAAGGCTCCTGTTTTATGTTTGTTGGTATCTGCTCAAAATTAAGTCATCAGCACCTAATGGTATTCAAATGTTTTCCTCCATCTTTGTAAACACTTGTAGCCAAAGCAAATGGCAGTTTTTCCTGACTTTTTCAGGTGAGGATAAAATCAAGCAGTTATGTCATCAGTAAGAACACCAGAATGTAACTGTAGAATGGTTTGTGTAAGGGCCCAGCCTGCGCTGCCGGCCGCCAGCAGAGGGTGACGGCGGTGAGGCATCATAACCTCAGGGAACTCCAATTCCCCAGGTGGGTATTTAGAAGAAAAGAAAAGGGAAAAGAAAAAAGAAAGAAAAGAAAAGAGGGCTGGAAAAAAACAAGAGAGAGAAATTGCCCCAAAACTACTTAAAAACCAAAAGAAGACTTGACTTGAGCTACAAACGGCTCCAACCCATAAAAAGGTGTTTGCTCCACTAAGAGCAAACAGGTGAAACAAAAAGCTGACCTTCCCCTCATAATTACAGAGAAAGTCATTTTTGTTCTCTGATTATCTTTTATTTCATTTTTAGTTCACCCTTTGTTTGAGCACACTGCTTTCAGCATCACCTTTGTTTGCCGTATTACCACCTTTTTATTTCCCATTCCTTGAGGTGTGACCCTGGCTCTGGGTCACCTCAAACCTCCAACATGCCCAATCACCAAATTCACACTCCATCACCTCAATAAATTCATTTAAGACCCTTTCTCACGGGTTTTCCTTTCTGCACTTGGGTCTGCCTCCCTGCCATCCCATAACAGTTTGTTAATGTGTCGATTGATATTTTTAGAATGATTACATTGTAAAGAGCTCGCTAAGGTGGCACACTCTGGTGAGGAGGCTAATGCTAATGCTATAGCATTAATGCTAGCCTTTGTACTGTTTCATTTGGTTCATCCTCAGGGGAAATGTGGGTAAACGTTTTTGAGAATATTGCACAAGAATTTGAAACACAGAAGAACTGATTCACTGTTAGTGCCACTAAAATGCTGTAGATTTCTACAAGTAGGAGTAACCAGATTAGCAAAGAGTCACAACATAAGTGGTGCGCTTTTATTACAGTGGCATATTTCTCTGGTCCTTTTTGATCTCCACCTATAACTTGAAGCTGAATATAGCTCAACATGCTCAAAGTGTATAACTTAATATCAGTTAGGCTGTTTTAAATAAAACAAGATTCATTCCTTAAAATGAAAGCCCTCCCTTCTGTCCATAATGCAGCTAAAGCCACATTGCTAACATCCACCCCTTTAACATTTCCTTATCTCTACAACACGCCCACAATCACTATAAATGTACTCTCGCTCTGAAGCTCTCACTGCATTGAGATTGTTTATAGACCTCTACAGATCATCAACTGAAGGTATGTACTTTTTATTAAGCTATTTTATGTCAGCAGCTGCAGTCATATAAGACATTAGTAATTACTTACACTATTAGTGGGGAAAATGGAAATGATAAAGATTTGATTCATCTTGAACAGTTTTGATGCTCACAGGATCTTGTTAATTGCATTGTTTAGTAATTATTAGAATACGTTTAAGTGTGTAGTTAAATGTGTAAATAATTGGATGAAATATGAAAGAGAGCAATATAAGGAACGGTAATAGGATGTAAAATGGCAGGAATTTAAAAGGGAATTTATAAAGGGCTGATAATATTTAACTAAAATAAATATGGTGTCCATATTTATGGATGTAAAATGGTCTGTGGCTGATGCACAATCACGTCTTTAGGACACAAACAAAGCGCTGCATCAAAGTCACATGAATTTCACATGTGGTTTTTCCACATTTCACATATTACAAATGTATTATCACATGTGAAAAAATATGTTAATACCCCCTGTCACCAGACCAAACACCAGACACTTTTTAATGAGTAAACTAGCTCATGTTTAGTGCTTTGACAAGTGGCTAAGTTGAATGGGGAAGACTTCAAGGATGTGTATGCCTAAAATAGAAAATACAACTAATGATGAAAAACTAACCTTAAAAGAAATAAAACAAAAATACAACAAACTACCATAAGTCCCTACTTATAACAGGAGAAAAGGAATAAATAAAACAAGGCGCTCGTCCAATATTTTTACCAAATGTGCACTAAAGCTTTCACAAATTAAGCAAAGCGAAGTGAGTCAGAGTGAAGAGTACGAGGATAGTCTGGTTTGGGTCATTTCAAGGTCACAACAGAGGGGAGAGCCCTGAGTGTCTCTTGAGATGTTGACTTGGAGACCTTTTAGACAGGAGTGTGCCCCCATGTGGCCAATCATGAACCTGCACATAAAGGAACACACAAGAGGGAAAAAGCACAAAATGGCCAAAGGCAGACACACAGAAAAGTTACTATAACTGGAGGTTGTAATGTATGTGATCACATGTGAATAAAAAATGTGATTACTTGGAAACATGTGCACATGCAAAATACAGTATCTGTAAAGGCAATCTTTCTGTTTTTCAGCCTTAAATGTTTAACAAAGAAAACTATTGATAATCTTAAAATACCTTAAAAAGAATGGAAATTTGAAATTTATGAAGGGGTGCATCATTGTGATTCACAATTAGAATTAAGAAAAAAAAAAGTAGCTTCTTAAAATTTATTCGGAAATTAGAAAATAAAATTTGATTCTATTTTTATTTATTCTAGTTAATACCCCTACTCTTTCCGTTCCTTTTTTCCAGAGATGGGTGGGATCATAGGCTCTGAAAGGTATTTTTTTTTTTTGAAAATACAGTTGGAGACTTTTAGAAATATTTTTATTATAAAAATCCACTACTGTCTAAGATAATGGTACATGCAGGAAGTGTACACTAGTCAAAGGTACCACTTGTTAATCCACTCCTGTGTAATGTGTGTAGCAGGGAGGTGAGAATTGGTCACTCTCTGAGTGAAGCTGAACAGCAGTATTTGGCCAAGAGGAGAGAGACTGTTCTACAGTGCCTGAAGCAGCACAATATACTCTGCAGTAAGGTAAATCAAACTCAACATAACCTTCAGATAGTTATTGTACCGTGCTACACAACACCCTGCTGTACTGTTCTGCTTTCTGCAGTGTAATTAGCTGAGTCTCAGAAGCTGTTTGTTTCAAGTGTTCAGGATTTGTTGTAATGCTGGCAGGATGAGGTGCCTAACATCGCAGTGCTGGGCTCTGGTGGTGGTTTGAGAGCTATGGTTGGACTGCTGGGATCACTGAGTCAGCTGAAAGAAGATGCACTGCTGGACTGCATCATGTACCTGAGTGGAATTTCAGGATCTACCTGGTACTGACCAAGAACACATCAGATATTTCAATTACTATATATATATATATATATATATATATATACACAATACAAGTTTTACACATCTGAGAAAAATAGTTAAAAAGCTGTTTCTGTAAACAAAAGAAAACAAAAACAAAAATAATATTTCTACAATAGGTAGTGATTTTGAGTGTATGTTTGTTTAACCATTTCCAAACTCTTTGTCACAGCTCAGTGTCACAAACTACCCCCTCCTGGCCCTGCAGGGTATTGCACATGGCTAGGCCATGTGCTTTTGTTTTCTTTTCTTAGCTCCACCCACTCCTGTTACAACCCCACATTTTGTCTAGGGCACTGTGGGATCAGTAACATGGCATTAAAAGACTGAACTGTTGATGGATTAAAAGCTGGAGAAACAGACCAATAGAGCTTTTGAAGCCATTTTATTAAAACCAACCCCAATAAAATTGGTGTGCTGTGATATCTAGTACCACACTGGAAGAGTCAAACTGTGGACGGCACCAAAGAAAGTAGCAAAACCAAACCAAACCTAACCATGTCTGCCTACAGTGAAACAAAAAGTACTTAGCTTTTGTTTCCTTTTGTAGGTTAGCTAACTACTCTACACTCTCCTAAAGTACATGAGGAAGTGCCCACACTCTAACTTGGGGAACTAGAGTAGACCTCCACATGGTGAGAATGTACAGGTCCCTCTTACCCGTTTTAAACCCCAAGTGGTACAAATAACCAAACAATCTTTTGTAAAGTTAAAGTTAAGTGTGCAGGTAAAATACTAAACTAAAGCACTTTCCCAACACAAGAGACAAACTCATCCACCAAATAAAAAGAAGCGCTAAAATACCTAAAACAAAAGCACACTCCCAACACAAGACTAAAACCACAAACTAAAACACAGCACACACGTCCTCTATCTCGTCAGCCATTTTTGAAGCCCTCTTGCCCCTCCCCCCAATTACACCAGTCAGGCCTCTGATTGATTAGAGATCCTCCTCACATGTGAGTGAAGTGAGAGCCTGAGAGAGAGAGAGAGAGAGAGAGAGAGAGAGACAAGCACAAAAAACAAAATACATGCTTACATGTAACACTCCATTCAACACACCTGCAGACCATTCTCTGGATCAGGGGTGTCAAACTCAACCACTAAAAGGGCCATTTTAAAAAGTATCAGTAAATCTGTGGGGCAGGTGTGTTTTTATTCAGTTTTTACTTAACATTTTGCCCTGACCTGAATGGGCCATTGTTTATGCCAAAACTGCAATAGCAAAATAGCATTTCAATACTTATTCGAAAAATAATTCTAAATAAAAATAAATTGTTTTAGGTCGTCTTTTTTTAAAACCGCCTATTTGCTTGACCTAGAAAACAGGCATTTTTTTCTTTTTGTGTAACTGCTGGCCCATAAATTGTTGTTGGGGGTAGAAGGTCAGAATGTGCACTTGCAGTGCATGCTGGGGACTGTTGTGCGTCTCAGGGAGAAATAATAATAGATCAAGATAAATTCGGGGGCCAAACAGGATTGTGCCACAGGCCTGACTTTGCCTGCGGGCGCTCTGGACTAACTGAGACCCCTACATATACTGCTTTGTTTTTCCTGTTTGTTTGCAAAATTCCCCTCTTTTATTACCGGTTTCAAGCCATTTTCCTTTGTTGGTTGATTCCTGTGTTTTGAAACCTGCTTTGACGTTCAGTTTTTTGCTACGTCTCTGATGATGCCTGTTTGTGTTTTGACCTCTTGTCTGTTTTGGCAATGAAAGTTGGATTATACCAAATAAAGCCATTTTGCACTTGCAAATGACCGATGTGCCTCCACCATTACACCTAGCATTATCTTATTTTTGAATGATGTTTTAAAAGCAAAAATATACTTATTAACCCAGATAACTGTTTTCCAGTTTGCTTATATCCCTAAGCAAGGCCCTAAACTTTTGCACAACACTTATGGAGTCTTTATTACTGCATTAAATTGCTGCCTTTTGGTCATTTTGTGTATTAATATCATCACACTCTGAAATGAAACACTCCACTCGTTGTAAAGGAGAAAGATGCTTCAAGCTAACAGAATTCTAGATGTTTGGTGTTAAATGAAATCACTGTCTCCATCTGCTCTCTGAAGGTGCATGGCGTCGTTATATAAAGAACCAGACTGGTCCACCAACCTGAAGACTGTGAAACATAACATCACCCAAAGGCTTGCTGAAGGCAGTGTCAGATGGTGGGAGATGGGTCACAAACTGGTGAAATACTATTCAGAAAAACACAACTTCAGTCTGACTGATGTGTGGGCAGCACTGATTGTGTCTAAAATGGTGAAAGAGGTAAGAATAATTTACACCCCTGGTCAGACTTTCATATGAATCCCCACAAATCATAGAACACGGTTTATCAAAATACATATTCAAAGACTTTCATTATTCATAGTGATGATTAGTGCAGTATTTCTACAGAAACATTGTTTCAAGTTCAATATGTACTCAACTGTATAAACAATCTGCTTGTAGAAAAACTTATCACTGTCATAATTTCTCAATGTGTATGTGACCAACTACTTTATTTACTGGAAATATAATATTCACTGTGAAAGCTAGTTAATGTTAGCAAGTTATCATTTTATATAGCAGCTAGGTTTAAAATTAGTTTTAGATTACTAAAAACATACATTTAATCATGTGTGTTTTGTTTTGACTGGTACTCCAATAAAGTGTAGCCAAGTGCTAGCTGGCTAACTGTTGTGGTGGAGCCAATAATAAATTATTTACATTCTCATTTTGCAAGAAAAATATCAGAATGTAATTCATAACACAGTAATTCCATGATTTGCATCCCTTTTAGTAAGATAACTAACTAAATTAATTTAAATTTTAAATTAAATTAAACTAAATTAGTTTAGTTAGTTAGTTAATAACTAAATTAAAAAGTCTATACATTTTTCTCCTGAAAACTTTCAGTAAAATATAATTTTGTTATAAAAACTTTCTAAGAACTTTGCGGTAGAAATATACGATTACCATTTACAGTGTACAGTAATGTGCACAAGTGTGTACATTATTAGAAAATATCAGTTTATTTGGTTTTAGACTAAAATAAAGCTAAAACAAGAAAACCTACCAGGGTGCCAACATTTCTGGCCATGACGATACATTAAAACATTAAAATGCAGAAGTCCTTATTATCTGTATTTCACAGATAGATGAACACACACTCTCAGAGCAGAGGGGCAAGCACACCAATGACCCGTACCCCATTTACAGCGTGATTGATAAGCAGTGTAAATATGATAGACTGAATACAGGTAATGTATCAAATATGTGTGTGTGTGTGTGTGTGTACATGTGTGTTTTTATGTTACAATAGAAAACCTACAGTAATTTCTGTCTGTAGATGTTTGGTTTGAGATCACTCCGGATGAGTCTGGTTATTCTCTCACTGGAGCCTTTGTGGATTCCCACTATTTGGGAAGTCAGTTTAAGAATGGAGAGAAGAAGAACGACCAGCCTGAGAGCGACATGCTGTACCTACAAGGTAACACACATGTTAAAAAACTACACCTGGTACATGTTTAAAATGGGTTCTTTGGTTTGTTTCACACTGCACCCTAAACACTCTACATACATGCCTTATGGAATTGCAAATCAATTAAACATTTTTGGCAACAAGTCACTCGTCATCAATTACTCTTAATACTAATACTAATACTAATACTCAGAAGTGGGAACAAATGACTAAGTTGCAAGTAACAAGAAAGTCTCAAGTCTTCACACTCAAGTCCCAAGTCAAGATAGTCGAGTCTTGATTCAAGTCCCGAGTCAGTACAGGTGAGTCTTGAGTCGAGTCCCGAGTCAATAGTCCTAATCTTTGAATTCTAAACAAGTCAGTAATGCATTCTTCAGCAAAACTTGCTCAGCCAACTAAAAACAGTTTAGTTGTTTTTATTTGCTATTTTGAATTGAATTTAGACAACAGAAACCAAAATAACTGAGCTGAACAAAGTTTACAGAAAAGACACTAAAATGATGGTGAATATGTGAAGCTGAAGTTGACTTTTTAGCAGCTTCTTATTTTAATTTTCCGTTCCATCTTAAATGTTGCCGCAATCAGATGCCAGACCATAACTGCTGCACCATTTAAGGTGAAGCGGCAAATTTCAATATGAAGCTGGTGAATAAAAAGTCAACTTCAGCTTTGTGGTCAATGTTGCACTTCTTTTACCTGTTAAAGCTGTTAAACCTGGTCAAACAGAGAGAACTGGGTTTCTTTTGTTTTGCTACCATGAGGAAAAAAGGTCCATTCTCCAGATGAGTGCTGAGTGAGGGTGCACTGATGCTGTTGATGCTTCGCTTGTTTCCAGCTTATGGAGGTGAACTTCTCTTGTCTCCCGAAATAAAATAAACCAAGCATAAACACAGTGACAGACATTTGATGACATTGATGTTTATTCAATTTGTGGCAAGAAACAAATTCAATCACATGAAAAATAATCGACTGTGTAGAGTCCCGTCTGCAATCAGACGCCGCTCCACATTTCTTCCACTTTGAGTCTCGAATCTCTCCGAGTCATGACGCTTAAGTCCGAGTCAGAGTCCAGGTCACTAGTGTTGAAGTCAAAGTCAAATCCCAAGTCTTTCTCGATTTTCTCAAGTCACGCCTAAAGTCACCAAATTCGTGACTCCTCACCTCTGCTAATACAAATACTACTACTAATAATAGTAAAGATTACTTAATTTATATAGCACGTATTTATAAATCATCACACATAAAATACAACAAAGTGCTTTAAAACATAAAATAATGAAACAGTAGATAAAAGGAGACAGGAAATAAACATTTACCTTTTAATAGAATCAATTCTAGGACTTCTAAAGCACTTCCTGGTTGTGAGGCAGGTGATGCTGTTGATGCTGGGTTATGAGGGCTTCATAATGACTGCTGGTAGTGAATTCCGGCAGCAGTGATGTGGGAGATCTCAGCCTCTTTTTTTTTAGCACTGGCATTCCCAAATCCCATCAGCATGAAATGATTAAGAACATCTGGCCCTACATACACTGGGGTAATGGGTGTTGTGACTGTCTGCTGGAATGTGCTCACTGTTCATGGATGGTCACAGAATACATTTCAGTCAATTTTGCCAGGTTTTCTAAATTCTGTCATCTGACTGTTTTTATTGGTTTGGAATTTGTACAGGCCTGTGTGCCAGCATGCTGGCTGATATGGAAGAGATTCTTAAGGCACTATACCACCTGATCATGAGTATGTACCTTTCTCTGTTTAACCTCCACACTCATTCCTCCTTTACTGAGTAAAATCCTGTAGTTAATGGGTACTGATTTAGGTTGTGGTGGAACAAAAACATATTTCTTGCAGCCATCAATAATTGGCCCATAGTCCACTACTCACTTATCACACCATCTGAGAAAACTGAGGTGTGATAAAAAAATGTTTTTGGTTTTGTATCAAATATTTGTAAATTATTGAATTGTTTTGTACAATTTAGAATCATATGCAAACATTTGGGCGGTCAATTTGTAAGTGAAATACATATTCACTGTGTATTTGCTCAATTTAATATATTAGGGGAAAATAAATAAATAAATAAATAAATAGATTAGGCCTGGGAAAAAATATGGCACATTTCTATATTTTAGCTTTTACATTTTCTTTGTTCCAATAAGTCAAACTCATACAAATAGAAATAACATATAAATTGCAACTTATTTTCATTTAGAATATCAACAAAACGTCTCCTTTGACAGCAGGGTAATTTCTCAGGATTTCTCAGTTAGCCAGATAACTTAGGCGCAAGATGAGGACTGCCCAATAGCAATGACCTTCAGCTCTTTTCCTATTGGACAGCCCCCCATATGTCTCTCTCTGTCTCCTTCATGATTTTTGTTTTTGGTCTACTAGAAATTCAAGAAACCATTCAAGAAAATCCTACATTACAACCTCCAGCTGCACAGAAAGGTTGCCAGGTGCTCTTAGCACTTCTGGAACTGAACCTACATCACTTGAGAAAGGAGGACACTGAAGGTCACGTTGAAACCATAAATGAGCTCCTGAAAGGTTGTATTATCCCATACGTCCCACAAACTGAGGAATTAAATCTTTTAATTCTGTTTTTAATGCTAAGTTAATTATTTTAATCTAGTTTGACCAGCATTTGAAAAGACACACAGTCTGGCTCATAGCCAACCACTCACTTATCATACACTCCTAAAAAAAAGAAGGAGCTTCAAGGGTTCTTCAGTAAAGAAAATGGTTCTCTATAGAACCATGAACACTCACAGAACCCTTTGCATGATTAAAGGATTCTCGGCATCATGAAAGTGTTCTTTAGATTAATGGAGAATGTGCTGTAGATGGTTCTATATAGCACCCAAAAGAGTTCTTCTGTTGTCACAGTGTCAAGCTTGTAACAATAGAGGAACCCTTTTGTGTGCTATATAGAACCATCTACAGCACATTCATGCATATCCCCTGTCAATCTGAAGAACCCTTTCATGATGCAAAGAAACCTTTAATAATACATAGGGTTCTTTGAGTGTCCTTAGATCAATATAGAACCATTTTGTTTACTAAAGAACCATCCTTTTTAAGAGTGTACAATCTGAGAAAACTATGGTGTGAAAAAAAGGTTTACATTAACAAATGTTCATTTGGTTGTGAATACTGGTGAATTATTGAATTATGTTTTGTAAACTTTAGAGTCATGACATGTTTTGTTAATTTTATGTGTGTATTTTTTCTTAGAAACAGTAACTTCCACTTAGAATATCAACAAACATATTTTTATTAGGAATATTTTGCATATGCCTGTATTTCTCTCTTTATGTCTCTTTCACGATTGTCTTTGGTTAACTAGAAATGGAAGAAACCAACCAAGAAAATCCTACATCACAAACACCAGCCATGGAGAAAGGTTTCCAGGAGCTTTTAAGGCTTGTGGAACTGAATCTTCATCACTTGAGAAAGGAGGATACTGAAGGTCACCTTGAAGACATCAATGAGAGAGGTTGTTTTATCCCATAAATCCCACAAAGCAAAGAATACATGGCCTCTTTTTTAACTGTCATTTAATGATTAGTTAATTATTATAATCTATTTTGTACCAGCGTTCGAAAAGACACTCACACACTGAGAAACTCCCTCTCTTTATTTAAATATGATGAGACAGGAAGCAGTGGGACCAGTAGTCCTGAAAACCAGATGACATCAGGAGGGACTGTCTCTGAGACAGACACTGTCACTCTGCCTGTTCACAGTTCTTTCTTAGACATGTTGGAAGGACAGAATTTTTGGGACAGTGAGTACAAATCTACCCTCCACTGATGCATTTTCTAAACACTGCACCTCAGACTCTACTGCTGAATGAATTATACTGAATTACAAACCCAGCAGTGTGACTTTTCTTGACACATATAAGTGACAATGGACAGTGAGTTTAATGCATGAATAACCTGACTTGCAGATGCAAAAATATCCCTGATCAAATGATGTTTTGTTGATGAGAGAGAAAATGTTACACATCTTCCAGAGAAAACACACATCTGCACATTTGAATGAAAATCATGATTATTTATCTAATAATAATATAATAATAATAATAATAATAACATAAAACCCTAAAATAATTATTATCAAATAATAATAATAATATAAAAATATTAAATTTGGTCTGTTCAAAATGGACTTATTTATTTATTTATTTATTTATTTTTATTTATTTATTTTTTTTTCCCAATATTTTAAAGTGAGCAAATACATTAAAAATTGTGCACTAAAATCTGAAGAAAAAATGCCACATTCAAGTTTATTCCTTGAAGAGGATGTGTTTACTTATGGTCACTGAGAAAATCAACAAAACATGTCGTGATTTGACCTGGATTTGCACACTTTTTGACCTGGATATGCAACTTTTGCACACGACTCTATATTGTAGTACTGGATTTGGAGCTTCTCAGCATTTTTTTTTAATCTACAGCTCCTTTCACAGGAGTTTTTATAACAGGACTCCTTCCCCAAAGATGTGTTTTCTTTTTCCACCCATTGTGGTCGTTTTTGTTTCAGGTATTTCATCCTGTGATGTTTTCATGTCAACGCCTTTCTGTAACTTCAGCTTTGCAATCATAACTATGTAACTGCTGTAGATTAATGTTTACTGTGCAACACTGCATACACAGCATTTTTATGCACTAAATAATCCGATCATAATCAGATTTCTGCAGTTATCTGATTATTCAAATGTTCATGTAAATAGCACACTAATTTCTAAGATCAGAGTAAGGCCTTGAAATCCGATTAAGAAATTTTAGCTCAGTTATCAGATTTCTCAGTGTAGGTAAACTCTTACTCTGATTTCTTTTGGATTTCTCAGCCTGTGCATGTGTGAAAACAGACCACTGCACCAGGAATAAGCAAGCAGTGTTGCCACAAGATGGCAGCAAAACACTTTTGGAGCGATGCTTAAACCAGCTACATGCTTGACTTAATGAAGTTTTTAAATATTCATCATCTTCTTGATGATGTATGTTCATATTTTTCAGGTAAAGCGGCGCAATATTTAGAAAAAAGCCGCAGTATGAAGTTTGAGATTTACATTACGTTTCCATCACGTTTTCTTCTGTGAGTTTATTGGTCTGTTGCAAATGAGAAATCTGATTACTGTCTGACTCATGTAGGCCTGTTGATCAGATTGCTGACAAAATCTGACTTTCTGCAGTTATCAGATTATTAAGTGTCTGTGTTGCATTAAAAACCAGGACAGCTAAGGGAGCACATTAGAAGACATATAATACACACATTAGAAACTGTATTGTGTTTAGAATTACATTAATAATATCATCTTTTTTTATAGTGCGCTAACATGGCTTCACATTTTTAGTATTCTTCTGGAAGCTGTACTGCCAGTAATTTACTATAGATGATTTTTCTTGTTGATATCTCAGCCATTAGAAATCTAGAATAATTGAATATATTAGAAATCTTGGGCTACATGTCAGCTTTATTTTAACCTTACATTTTAATGTATATTCTTATGTCAGAGATTTGGATCACCATTATTAGGTCCATAGAGGAAGTTCTGCACTGGATCTGGGGAAAGACATACAACTTTCTCAATGAAATGTCAGGTGGGAAACTACAATTTAATTATTTAATAAAATATATAGTATTGTGCAATCATGTGAGATGATGAGTAAAGCTAATTATATGAGCAGGAAGTATTTATTTCTTTAGAGAAACACTAATATTAGACAAACCAAGATGCTAATAATTTTACAGAAAACAATAAGTTCTGCTTGCTTTTACTGTATTTATGTTTGTTTGTATAACCTTGGAATAAATATAGTGTTTAAATATTATTGAGACTTTTTACAGTCTAATGTAAATATTTGGGGGAAAATTGAACACCCCTGCTGAAAAATGAACAAACCAAATCAGAAAAAATGGGGATGGTGAAAAACGTACTCTGACTTGTAGTTCATCGCAGAAAGTATGAACACAAGATATTTAATGTTTTGTTTTGTTTTGTCTGGTAAACATGCCATTCAGGCCTGCAATGCATTCCAAAAATGCAGCTATTTAGGGCTAGTAATGAGGTACAATAATTAAACAATGATGTGACTTTGAAAAAGGCAAAAAATGATTCAAATCTTTAAAAGCAATGTTTCTCAAAGAAAGATTGGAAGGAATTTGAATATTTCACAATATAAATATACAGTGCATAACAAAATTAAAAGGAATCTGTAGGAATTTCAGTGTGTAAAGAGTGCAAGTCTAAGCTGAATAACTGAGCTGTCTGATTCCTCAGACAGCACTGCATCAAGAACCATCATTCATCTATAAGCCATAAAAAAACACATGGGCTCAGGATTACTTTGACAAACCTTAATCAAGCACTACAATATGTAGTTACATCCACAAATGCCAGTTAAATTTTTACTGTGCCAAAAGGAAGCCATATGACACTGTGTCCAGAAACACCGTCAACTTCTCTGGGTTCTGAGGCATCTGGGGTGGACCATCACACAAAGGAAGCATGTATACTGGTCAGACGAATCAGTATTTCAGGTCTTTTGTGGAAGAAATGGGTGTTGTGTGATCTGGACCACAGACGAAAAAGACCACCCAGACTGTTATCAGCAACAAGCCCAAAAGCCAGGGTCTGTCATGGTGTGGGGTTGGGTCATTGCCCTTAGCAAAGGTAACTTAAACTTCTGCAACAGCACCATTAATGCTGAAAAGTACATAGAGATTTTGGAGCAACATATGCTGCATTCAAGACACATTTTTCCAGAGACACCCTGCATATTTCAACAAGACAATGCAAAATCTGCACACATTCCAAAGGCCTGGCTGTGAAAAAGGGTGCAGGTGATGGACTGGGGAGTCCCGACCTGTCCCCAGTGAGAACGTGTGGTGCATTTTAAAAGAAGACTCCATAAAAAAGACTACCTTAAACCTTGTTGTGAAAAGGAGTGGCAATATTGCAAAGTGATAAATAATTTACTGGCCCAGCTTTTTCTAAAATATGTTGCAAGAATCAAAATTTAAATGAACATTCATTTTGAAAAACAAGAAAATTCATGAAGCAAAACATCCAATATTGTGCTGCGATGTACTAATCAGTGGTCTGTGGAGTTACCGCTGCGCCACTAGGAAGCACAAGTGACAACAGGTAAAACACCTCAAGAAAGGGGAATTGAAAAGGTGGGCAAACGGCAAACAAAAGAAACGCTGGAAGCAGCGCGCTCAAACAAAGGCTGAACTAGAAACGTGAAATATGCTTCCACTGTAAGTATGAAGGGAAGGTAGACTTTATGTTTCACTTGGGCTGCTGTTTGCCACAGCCTTAAGTAGAGGAGTTCGCAGGGGTGTCAGCCTAATCACCCCAAGGGCTTCTGGGAATAGGAGTTCCCTGAAGTTATGGCCCCTTGCCGCCATCGCCTTCTGCTGGCAGCAGGCAGCAGGCAGTGCAGGCTGTACCCTTACCTTTTCAGTTCATTTTAGTTTAATTAGTCCCAACTTTTTCTGATATGGTTTTGTATGTTTTGGGGGGTTATGATTGCATATAACTATGTAAGCAAATAACACATTCTCTACAGAACACATAATTAAATATAGCACATTTCTGGAATTGTTACTGCACAATATATTATCAAAAAAAAAGCCTAAACTTTTGATGTTTATTCAACTAGAGGTCTGTCTGCTTGGACTTGGACTGTCTGCTTAAATAACATTTTTGTTTTAGAAAACGTTTACCTTTCCAGATACAACAATGAAAGACAAGTAGAAAAGTATAATAATCCATATAATTAATGAGTTATTTAAAGAAGTTGTAGGAGGGCCTGCCTATATGTATTTTATGTTGTCTGTGCCATCAGTGAAAGACGTGGACCCCAGTGTCCTCCTGTCAGAAACGAGGGAATATGAAGACACTGCAGCAATACTCAATGCACCCTATTTCTCTTTTCTGAGAAAAGAACGAGACATCGACCTCATCATCTCCCTGGACTTCAGTGAAAAAGATCCTTTTAAGGTAGAACACAGACGCACAAGCAGTGAAAGCCGCATTTTGTATAATTTTAAATATGCAGACAATTACAGTCTTATGTGATTTGTGTATAGACTTGTACCTATACAATGCATTACAATGTACTAAAGCTCATAATCATTTCATATATGACCTAATAAATGGTAAATGATTCTGTTTACAATACGCTCAGGAGGCTATAGTGCATATATGGCAATTCAAACCTAAAACTAGGTGAACTCGGTGTCATGACATCTAATATAATAAAACACAAACTATGTTATTTAAAAAAAGAATGATTAGACTATACTATATATATTAGACACAGGGTGGGCAGGGCAGCCAATACACACACAAACACACACACACACACACACACACACACACACACACACATAGTATATGTACAGCGTTTAAGACTAACTACAGGATGGGCACTTTTTTGCAGACGGTGTTCACAGCTGCTAAAATATGCAAAGACCTTCAGATTCCTTTCCCTGAAGTTGTTTTACCTCCTGGAGAAAAGAAAAAACCAAAGGACTTCTATGTGTTTAAAGACAACACCAAAGCTCCAACTGTGATTCACATCCCTCTTTTCAATGAGATCAACTGCAAAGGTAACTACAGCATAATGAAAATTTAATATTTTGCATGTATTTTGGCTTCATTGTTATGGTAGTATGGTCTACTGAGTATGTGTGACATAACAGAAATGCAGCAGTGCTCTAAACAGTACAGGTCTGTTTCCACAGGAGAAATTGAGAAGTGGCGCAAAAGATATGCCACTAAGAGGATGAACTACAGTCATAATGATATCAGAGATCTTCTGGAGAAATCTGGATCGAACATCAAAAGCAACAAGGAGAACCTGCTTAAGGAGATTAGTTACATCGTTACACAGAAGCAATCTTTCACCAACCTTGATTGAATCTTATGTATGGAGTAAAACACTGCAGCATGCCAAGGAAATGTGTGGAACATGAGTCCTTTGGCAAGTTATATCTGCATGGGTAGTCAGGAAGGTCTTTCATTTATTATTGATTTATAACCATTTCAGCTTTGTTTTATTTGTTGGTCTGATAGAACCTCAATTATGGGTTCAATTGTTCTTGTTTTCACTGAAACATTAGGGTAGAAATGTGTTTATATGCTCTTACAATGCGTGGCATGGCAGTCGTGATAAGAAAAATTAGCAACAATTTACATTTAACAACTTGTAACAAAAGAAATCTAGAACAAAAATATTACTCAGCACTTATTAGCATCGGTTAAGGTGTAATAACATGTTACTGAATGACAATTAACTAAACTTTAGTTGCTTGATTAAAAATTTTCATTGTTCTATTCAGATTGTTTGAATCAATGTTTTGCTTGATATTGTTGTTGTCTTTTCCTGTAAACTTCTCAGCCCAAATCTCATCTTTTTCTTCATATGTGACACAGATCTGTCATCTGTGTGTCAGTGTGAACAGCAAAAACACACTGAATCTGAGATTTTCAATTCCGATTAGAGATGCTTCCATATGTGGTGCTGAAATCCAATACGTATCAAATCTGCAGCAATGTGACTCAGTCTGAACAGACAGATTAGAATTCATGCAACTTTTATGTCAGTCTAACTCGACATTCGTCATAATTTCACGCCACTGAGACTCATAAACCTTTAGGATGATGTTTCTATACTAAAAAAAATAGAACAGACTTATCGCTGCCACTCCATGTTCGAAGAGGTTTAGAAAGAAATGGCCGTAGGAGAACGAGGCTGCAGCGTCAAAGAACAGTTAAAAGTTTGAAAGCAAGTTTAAGAATCTGAGGATATGAACCAAAGAAGTGACCGCGCCCTTTTTACTCCGAGCTCGAAAATGTTCTGGGTGATGAGCCCAGCTGACAACTATCGGAACTTCATTATGGCTTCTGTGATGCTGGTGAAGATGAAACTGAAATCTCTGGGAGCGACAGGCATTCGTTCATAGTGATGATTGATTACCTCTGGATGAGCCTCGTGAAGCAGCATGAAGCACTGTTCTTTTGCGCATGTGAGTCAGTTTAAGAGCTGATCTGTTCAGACTGATGTCACATACAGATCACATTTGAAAGATACTGTGAACAGCCAAACAAAAAAAATCGGATTTGGTGAGAAAATTAGATTTGGGCCACTTTTACCTGCTGTGTAAATGTAGCCTTAGAAAAAATGCATTTACTTCGAAAGACGTAATACACTTAACTGACTTTATGTTAGCTTAATTGGTTTTGGCACAAATGTTATGATTACAATACTTCTGGGCTCTGAACAGCATGACAAAATTAAATAGCTCTTGAGGTCTAGAGGCTGAAAAAGACTCACGGATTCCCGCGGGACCTGCCACAGCAACTTGTGGGGTGGGCGGGAAACCTGCCTGCTGCAGGCGGGAGTGGACGAAAGCAGACATGAAGAGAAATCACACAAATTAATGAATAGCCTAAATAAAGTAGAACGATCAGTAAATCATATATGTAAACAATATAAAATGATCACCGTAAAACAATTCAAATGAATAAAGTCATTCTCGAGCAACCGATCACGTGAACAACATGCAAATTCTCATAGGCCTGATTCACACATACTGCTTCTGCATGGCGTGAGCAACATGGAAAGTCTTGATTTTTCATTTTGGCGCACATGTTAAGTGGTCAGCGCTTTCAAACAGAATGCACATGTAAAGTGGCAGACACTGCACTGAGGTTGTGTGGTATTTAAAGAACAGATCCTGCCCCATTTTTTCCATGTTCCATGTGGGTCACACAGCAAAATATATTGAAATAAGTCATGAAAATCGATGAAAATGAAACAAAAGACTGTATAAAACCAAAAAATATGTTTTTTTTATGATGTAATTCATGATGAAATACTAGTTAGACTTTCTGTGCTGCAAACAGATGTGCAGGAGCGGGACAAATCATTTTGGTTGTGGGCGGGAGCGGGATAAATGATCGTGATTTTCTGCAGGAGCAGATGGGAGTGAAAAAAACTGTCCCGCACAGACCTCTAACCTGGACAACTCTTTAATGTTTGTGTCATGGATATTTCACTGAACAGCAATTTGATATAAATGTGCAGAAAGGACCTTTTTTCTAAAAAGAATTACTATTCAAAAAGGGAACAAAAGTTACAGTTTGAGTTTTCTTTATTAAACTGAATAAAGGACAGTATTATAAGATCCAATAAGAAAAGCCCATACAACATGAACCATTTAAAATACATTCAGAAATATACAAAAGCTAATTATTCACCACGAAGACAGAATTTTAATGCTGAAAAATAACATTTAGAACACTCTAGAATTTGCCTGACATTGCGGATAAGATTCCACACCCCAGGTCTACGCTTTGATAGAGAGATTTTGATTTTTTGGTGTTGAAGTCTCAATTCTTGTAGACTGACACTTGATTTTGTTGGAATTTAGACTCTGGTAGACTTAATCTGATTGGTTGGTGTTGAACGTTATGCTCTGGTAGACTGTATCTGATTGGTCAGTTTTGGGGTCTAGGCTCTGATTGATTGGACCCATGCTGATCTTGTTCTGGTTTCTTGAAGAACAATTTTCATAAACAACATCATCATCCTGCAAACAGAGCAACACATACAGGAGAAAATAACTCAAACCTTAGTCTTCATATCATGTTCATTGATTCATTCCCTGGCCCTGAAGATGTACTGCTGTGGAGATTTTAGGTTAAACACACTTGGCTCTAATATTCAGATGCTCCTGAAGTCCTTGATTATCTGGATCAGGATTGTTAGATTAAAGTTGTAACTAAACTTTCCAGAGCAGTACATCACCAGGAACAGGGTTGGACACCTCTGTATTAAACCTACAAAAATGTAATGCTAAAAATACTTAAATCAAATAAAGTTTAACTGTTTGCATAATTAATTTAACAATATATATTTTTCTTCCCACTGTACTCTATGAAGTGTACACAGTTCTCAATGTTGTATTACTTTAATATGAATTGAGATTTTATTAAAAACTTAATTTTCTTTGTATATTTTACATTGTTGTTGGTTGTGGTTTGTATAATATAAAGGATGACACTGCCATCCTCATGTAAGTCACTTTGGATAAGAGCATCTTCCAAATGCCACAGCTTTAAATAAATGATTTTTGTACAGCTGGAGTAAATCAAACATTTCCAGACTCTGTAGCCTCATAGAACAGTGCTGAATGCTACTGGTATACAATTTTACATTTTAAAACAGTTCATATTTGGTTATATTGAGAAGTTGGTTTAAGAGTCTTTTCACTCACTGTGTTCTGTGTTCTTCTCTCAGTGTTTGTGTACATGGACTCTGCAGAAAAACTGGATGTTAATCAAAGGGCTGTATTTCACAAGACTGGTGGATTTAATCTTCACTAGTGAAATCTTTCATAACAGGGATCTAATTTATACTCCTATTACATAATTATGAACTGTGTTTATGGGTGTGTGTGTTTAGTACCTTGTGTCTTATTGTTTCTCAGTTTGTAGAAGATCAGTGCTGATCCTCCAATCACTACAATCAGCAGCAGAGCCAGACAGACACACAAAATGATGACAAAGGAACCTGTAGACCACGGAAAGAAAAGCATAATAATAATCATATTCAAGACATATTCAGAGCACTTTCAGAAGAAATGCAGTCCAGCCAAAAACATACATAGTCAATGTCAATGGAAATATGGCAGAGAATAATCAATCATGGTTACTATATTAATTAACTTTAGTTACTGTATTAGTTCATTGGTCCATCCATTCTGTAAATGTAATTTATTTACAATTCCTTCTCATAATCTTTCATCACTAACAAAACAAAATGCATTATTTATTAAAATGATAATTACTATATTCATTCACAAGTTGTTGGCATATTGTTGCTTGATTACTAAGTAACCTTGCTGTAAAGGGAAAATAAATATATATATATATATATATATATATATATATATATATATATATATATATATATATAATATAATATATATATATATATAATATTTCTCACAGAGACCAATATGCTCTCTCACACATTACATATGAATTAAAATACATACAAAAGTCTATATTGCTATACTGTAAAATTTTACCAGACTGACCTGTGATTTCTCTCTTCTCTGCAGTTGATTTCACATGGAAAAACAGAAAAAGAGGTGTGTAATAGTGTACTTTTACATTTCCATAACTAGAGTTAAAACATTTTTTTGAGAATTATCAAAGCAAATTATGCTGTAGACAATTAATAAGCTCTTATTATCATTAGAAAAAAAGCAATTCTTACAAAAATTCATAAACCCACTGTAACACTGAGTTGCTGAGTGTTGAAAATTGTCAAAATCAGGTACAAACATGTTTTTATGTTCTGAGGGTCTTTTACAGTTGACAACAAGAGAATGCACCTTCAATGCTAAGGCTGATGTTGATGGACTGTTTGTTGTTGATTGAACATCTGTATGTTCCCTGGTCTTGTTCAGTCAGGTTGGAGATCAGTAGAGAGAGATTTGCTGGAAGGTTCTTATTAAACATGTGGACTCTGCCTGTGTAGTTTGTCGTCTCATTGGATACCTCAGTCCCTCCTGAGTCTACACGCTCCCATTTCACACTTACAGGTTTGGTGTGTTGATCAGTGCAGGAGCAGGACAGGAGAACAGACTCTCCTGGAGATCTGATAATCAGTTTCTCCTGAGTCTCTGACAGTGTGCAGCCTGCAGGAACATAAAGAAGCACAATGTTTCTGTTCATTACTACTGCATTATCTGATTGAGTGTTGGTGTATCATGGCTTTTGGGCCTGCACATTTCTAACCTGCTTAGAGTTGCAAACAAACCAACTCTTTCTGCATAATTCACTGTTCAAAATGTAAACAGAGTGATTCAGATTTGGTGTGAAATGTTTGAGACTTCTTTACAGTGATGGTGATAGGAACCAGGGGTCACCATGACTACACACAAATATAACTATTTTATTTACTATCCAAAAGCACCAGTGAACCTACACTTTTCTTCTGAGTGTTATATGTAATGTTGATGATAAAATAGTGGAAAATGTAATTTTCTTTGGCAAGTATTTTTTTGCCCTACAGCACCCTGCATGTACCTGTCTGTCATAAACAGTAGACCTGGCCCATCAACCTTTGGATAGATCAGCATATGGAGCAGATTTCCACCCTTTTCACTAGGGACCTGCCATCCATGATATATGGAAACACTTCAGTTTGGTGAAGTGGTTGAATCTGGTTGCCTCCTCCCCCACACTATGTGAATAAACCCTGACATTCCATGTCTCACTTTTGAAAACGGTCCTCTGTAGCCCTCAGTACTCCACAAGTAGTCACTGTTTCTCCAGCTTATACTGTATATTATGCTTATATACTATACAGGAGAGCCAGGACAGGGTAATTAGGGCTGGGTGGTGACAGCTGTGGGCACCTCACTGAAGGGCTCACATGCTGCTTTCCGCTCAATTTTGGTTCACGTTGTCATGTGCACATCGCTCTAAGTCAGTAACCGGTAAACCAGTAAAGATTCAGAAATTAATCTTTCGTTTATGTTTTAGAATCTCTCCAGTCAGAGTGTGTCATTATAAAAACTATAGTTAGTATTGCTGCTGTTCGCTGAAGTGGTATGTGGTATAGCATGTTGGTCCTGCAACATGGTGGTTAAGGGTACAATCCTTATCAAGACTTACAACATTCTTTGTTTTTTTTCACTCTCTTTTCAGTCATTAGTTGTTTCTAGATCTTATGTTCTTCCCTAGTACTTTCGTCCTAATTTTCCTTTTATTCTTGTTTCTCTTGTTGAATCTCTGGTGCTCTGCACTTGAGACTGCTCTCTAGTGTCTGACTAGTGGTTTGCCCTTAGTGTTAGTTTACCAGCTATAAGGTTGTGAGTTCCATCCTCACACATGATGATGCACCTGTCTCGTTACATCTATTATACATGTTTAGATTTTTATTATGTTATTTTTGTTACTGTATGCTATATTTGTGGGTTTTGGTTTCATTTTTGAACTGTAAAGTATGTCTGAAAGTGCTCTGTAAAAAAAGCGTTTTATAAAATTATGATTTTTATTATTTTGCCATGTTTAACAATAGAGGTTGCTGTGAGACAACTGATCTGTCATCTTGGTTGTCACCATGTGGACATCTGAGACTACAGTAACAAGTTCACAAATTCATGAAAATGTTCACAAAAATCAAAGAGAGGGTAAATAAAATAATCGCCCTTTTCTGCCATCTGAGATCATGTTTGATGTGCGTGACATCAGTTATACATGAGTTCAAATAAATGTACTGATCAAAAACATCTTCACAGCTTCACTGGAGAGCTGATGAATTTGTGAGTTTCAGTAATACCACAGTATGATCAGGTAAAGATACACAAGAACTTTGAAGGTCTGGATCAGTTTACCGTTTAATGCTGAGTCTGATGTTGATGGACTGTTTGTTGTTGATTGAACATCTGTATGTTCCCTGGTCTTGTTCAGTCAGGTTGGAGATCAGTAGAGAGAGATTTGCTGGAAGGTTCTTATTAAACATGTGGACTCTGCCTGTGTAGTTTGTCGTCTCATTGGATACCTCAGTCCCTCCTGAGTCTACATGCTCCCATTTCACACTTACAGGTTTGGTGTGTTGGTCAGTGCAGGAGCAGGGCAGGAGAACAGACTGTCCTGGAGATCTGATAATCAGTTTCTCCTGAGTCTCTGACAGTGTGCAGCCTGCAGAAACAAAAAGAATGCTGTAATTATGAGTATTTACATAACTTCTGTTTTACTTTGTGCATTATGCCTTAAAGGGGCACTCTGACCAAAATGACAAATGTAACCATTGATTCATTGAACCATTTATCATCCTTTGTGAACATACCTTCTCACTTCATACGTTAGTGCTTCAAAAGTTTCTAATGTGTTTTGTTTTTTTTTGTTTTTTTTTATTCGTGGGAAACCCTCTTCTGATGATGTATGTTAAAGGTGTGAGGATTGTTTGAAAAGTGCATGGATACTTGAGGGTGGGCTGTTTGATTATTTTTTTTTTTTCTGTCCGTTTTTATGAGCTACTATGTTACCAATCAGGAATTCTTTCACAGTGGGGACGATCCCAACTGTTGTATTACATATTTGCATGCTGGGTATTGTAGTGATTAGTGAACACTTACAGATGAAAACAGAAATGCCCTTTTGCACATGTTTATGTTTATTTATTGTTGCTGCCACATGGTAATATATGCTCAATTGTGCCACCATTTGTTTTAGTTTTAGTGTCTGAGTTAGACATGTTGAGACTTTTTCTTTACAGATGAGTGAATGTGAAAGAGACAGAATGCAGCAGTTTACCTTTAACAGTGAGGCTGAAGTTCCTGTACTGATTCTGGTTTATCCAGCATGAATATGTTCCTCCGTCCTCTTCAGTCAGGTCTGAGATCAGTACAGAGAGATTTCCTGTAGAGTTCTGGTTAAACGTCTGAACTCGGCCGCTGTAGCGCTGAAGGAGATCTTCATGGTTTGGTGTTCTCCACTGAACTCTCACAGGTCTGTCCTGCAGGTCAGTGCAGGTGCAGGACAGAAGAACAGACTCTCCTGAGGATCTACTGACTGGAACAGTCTGTTTATTCTCTGACAGAGCGCAGCCTAAAACAACAACATACACTCTTATATAATATACACTCTTTAACTGACCATAAAACTCATTATACATTTTATACATTACTTATTTTTACATAAACAAATAACTTTTATACACCACTATGTTACGCTGCAACTATTGATTGTTTCCATTTTTGAAAATTCTAGTGGACATCATTTTGAAACTTTGAATATTCTGTAAGAAAAAGAAAAGCTCAAGATATGTTTACTTATAATAACTGTATTAAAAAAGTTATCAAAATAAATTATTATGTTCATAGCATGTTGCTTTAAAGTGGGAATCTGGCTGATTAGGTTGCTGGTTCTGTTTGAACAGTGAGCGCTGCAGAAGAGCAGAGGAAACAGCATCTTTTAAACCTCCTTAAAATAAAAGGAATGTTTTGCTCAATTCTTTCATCACTCAAAACCACTTTATACCAGAACACTCACTAAACTCAGTCCCGCTCGCTTTACCAGCCACTGTAGTCTGAGTAATTCTCCTGTAGCTCACAGCTGGTGGGCAGCCACTCTCATTTACTCTCAGTAATACATGCAGTAGGAAACTTATGTGAACTGCTGCTGGAGTTCAGATCCACACTGTGGCCTCAAACACACAGTTAGGAATAGAGTCTCACAAGCTGAGCCAGATCACACTCTTCACTGAGGCTACTGTGCAGAGCTGCAACTGGGCACTAATGCTGACCAGCTGAGTGTTTAACTCAATAAACAAACATTTGTTTCTCCACAGAAGAGTGTGGCTTCATAAATTAGTGAATGTCAGATTTTCAAATGACTTTTTCTGTTTTAGATTTTTTTAGTATCTAAATTGTTTGTTGTGTGTATTGAAATAAATTTACATCATTGTTTTTGGCAGTGTTCAGTTTTCTTTCTAGCGTGTGTAATTATAGCAGTCATATCTGCACTACCATCACATTCCACAGCTACAGTAACTGATACTGTTGTCTTCAGTCTTACAGAGAGAAGCTTCTAGTTTAAATGTTGAGTTAGTGTGATCAATATTGAAACTATGTAATAGTTAGACCGACTGACCTTTGACCTCTAGCTGGACAGATGATGTGTGTTCACCAGCTCTGCAAGTGTAGATTCCGTAGTCCTCTTTTTTCAGATCTGAAATGAGGAGAGAGAAATTTCTGGAATGTGTTTGGTCGAACATCCAGACTCTGCCTCTGTAGGATTCTGTATCATTACACACTGCAGTCTGATCTTTAGTCCATGTGACTCTCTCAGTGTTGTTCTTCTGTTGGTCTCCAGGACAGGGACAGGGCAGCAGAACAGACTCTCCTGGAGATCTGGAGAACATTCTCTCCCCTTGTTCCAGCACAGTACAGCCTGCAGACCCACAAATACAAATAAACACATCAACACCATCTCTGAACACTTCTCAATACAATTCTCTCAGTCAAATGTGTGTGTGTATATATATATGTATATGTATGTAGGCACAGCTGCCCACTTCACTGTGGCTAGACTCTTTTTCTCTCTCACTGCTACTTTTCGTTCCTCTTCCCTCTTTCGGTTCCCTCTCTGCTCATTTTAAAGGTGCCCACACTGCCAAATTGGCATCAGCTGGCATTCACTGAGCAACACAGCAGCAGTACTAACTATTGAGCACCTGAGCTGAGAGGGAAAGAGAGTTCTCTGTCCCATTCCCCGCTCTGCCGCTTGGCCGCCAGGATCAAAGATCAGGTCCATTAGAGTGGCCTCGCTGCAGAACAAGAGGAATTGCCCAGGAGGTGGTTATCATCCTCCCCTCACTTTCATCACAGGCTGTTGTCTGCACTCAGGGTTCGGGCCATGTCTTCCTGCAGGCTTTCACAGTCATCATTGGAGCATGAGGGACGGGCTACAGCACAATATATATATGTGACCAGAATGTCAGGGGACATGGAGGCTAGAAGATCAGAGGAGGCTGTGCTGGCAGCATAAACAGGCAGGGCTGTATTGACATCCTTGGGTGCTGATGGGGCTGCACTGACGTTTTTGGGTGCATGTGGGGCTTCATCTGTGTCTTTGGATATAAGTGGGACTGCATCCACATCCTTGGGTGCAGGCAGTGCTGCACCGACATCCTCGGGCGCAGGCTTGGCAACACCAACATCCTCGGTTGCAGGCTGGGCAACACTGACATCCTCGGATGCAGGCTGGGTCACAGCGACATCCATGAGTGCAGGGAGGTGAGGGGAAAGAAGGGTAACTCCAGGCCTTCTCAAAGCACAAACAGGAATGCAGAGAGGCGCCTTGGAGCAGGGACAGCGAAAAAATGGATCACTTTAGTGATCAGGGGAGGTAATAGAGGGGCTGTTTCCTCTGGGCACACCAAGAAGTGTTACTTCACCAGAAGGCTCCTGAGCACCTGGTGTTTTGCCACCTGCTACTCTTCTGGCTACTTTCCCTGCCTGTCGGAGTACCCTGCAGCTCCCAGCATCCGGCCAGGTGTGGGTGGATGAGGGTCCAGGGTGACTTCTTCCTCTGCCACTCTCTTGGCATGTCAGCATCCTTCTCATGGGTTTCAGCTAGCAGGCCCCAGGCCCAGTAGAGGAGGTCCTGGGGGTCCAAGAGAATGGAAGTGAGTGGCTGGCTCTTCTGTTCTCTTGCTTTGCTCCATCTTGCCATTTCTTTTCTTTTTATTTAATGAAAACAAAACCAAACTGAAACTCATTTGTTCCACAGCATTTATTTTCTGGGTTTATGCTACAAGGACTCTTATTGTGAATGTGAGGCTAGCCTTCTTTGGGGAAAAATAGAAGAACTGTGGTCAGTTGGAGCGGGAAGTGAGAGAATGCAGACATGAATTGTGTGTAGAGATAGCTGTTAGCCTTGCTGTTATATGGTGTGGATCAATGACGTGCATAAGTTGTGTCCTCTCTAATAGTGGTTATTGCTAGAGTTGGTGTCAGAATAAAAAGGTTTCCTCAATGGAAGTTAGTTAGACTATTTCGCCATTAGAAGCTAAGCTAAGCTGCAAAACTCAAAACAGAGATGGAGCACTCTGTTTATGTGACAATTGAGGGGACAATTTGCATATTCAACAGCACCAATGGCATTGAAGGAGAGTCATACCACCCAAGGAGGAGTGTTACAAGAGCAGTTGGGGGGTGGGGGGCGTTGGAGAGCCAAACTTGGAGGTGCCAGCTAGTCCAGAGCCTAACCGTCATTGAGCGCCGTTCCAGGCTTCCATAACGTCAGCACAAAATCTAGATGCAGATGTAAACAAAGATGGCAGTGTCCAAGAACTCCATTTAGCTAGCATTCCTGCAATCAGAGCTTTGGGGGCAGATGATGACAGAAATGATCTGATGGTTGACCATATCTGCAGCCAGACAGCCAGTGATACACAGCTGCCGCAGCTGGACATGCTGCCAGCTGGGACATCTGGCTAGGGCTTTTCTATTGGGGGTGAAGCTGGCAGGAAAGAATGCTGGACTAGCCAAAATGAACAGTATGTGCAGTAAACAAACACTGGCCATGGTGGAGCAAACATCCATGTCTTCTGACACATTTCCATCAACAATAAAGGAGTTCCTTGCACTGCACTGGTGGACATGTGGTCGTTGGTTACAGTGGCATAGTGAGAGTGGTACGTGCTGCGTTTGAGCAAGAAGCATTGTGGTTCATCTCTGCACTCTTACAGGTAAGCTAGCACCAATCTTGGAGAGGGGATGGCTGATGCTGACAGTTGAAAGGCAAGAAAATGTATAATTTAGTCAGGATAGCTGAAGTCTAAACCTGCATTCTTGGCCCAGACTTTGGGAGAAGCAATGTGTGACAAATATAGAGTGCCATGCTGAGGTTTAGAGGTGGCCATCTAGTGGTGATGAAGCCGGTTGCCCAGGAGGACACAGAGTTGTGTGTGCCTTTGAAGTCCAGTGAATGGTAAAGACCTCTGCACCAATTGCGCACCAGTCCTTCAGTCCTTACCTTCCCAAAAAAGGCATACATTCAAGACATCAAAAAATATAATAAGGACAGCTTACACAGAGCAGACATGGAGCAGGGTTTCTCAGATGTATGAGGGAGGAACTAAAAAAACCCAGAACAGAGCTGGAGTGGAGTGATTACAAAATGCTTTGAGCAAGTAGTGGATATGTCTGCAGCTCCATGCCAGTCAAATGCTCTGGATAGAGGAATATCACTTTAGCAGCTCAGGTACAAAATATAAACTGATTATCTACGATCCACTCAGTGCATTATTATGTTGCTTTTATAAATAAAAGGTTCCAAAAATACATGATGATTAAGTTAGATGTTTCTTCTCAACCCCAACTACCATCGAAAGGAACCCTGGTTAATCCTCTGTTAGATTTACCTCTGACATAGAGAATGATGGCTCTGTTATATTTCCCATTGATTCCACACAGATATGTTCCTTCATCTTCCTCAGTGAGGTTAGCGATTATTAGAGATAAATCTCCTGGTTTATTCTGAATCAGTCTCTGAACTCTGTTTCTGTAGCTCTGATTCTGACTGCCGTCCTCTGGAAACACTGAGTGATCAGCTCTGTAGTCGCCTCCTATGAACTTTCTTCTAAATCCCCACTGCACTGTCTGTGGATCATCCTGCAGGTTTGTACAGGAGCACGGCAGCACCACAGAGTCTCCCACAGATTTGGTGATGACTGCCCCCAAACCTCTCTCCACGGTGCAACCTGCAGAAAAACCACATCACCAAGAACTTACATTAATTGTTTTTCATTATATTCAGAACATAAACTCTGTGTACACACTGCAGGATTTTAGCTCTGATTTCACTCT